CTTGTGAAATCCACATTGATACCATTGGGCTGCAGGGTTCCCAAGCGGAATATGAGTTGCTGTTCCTGCAACCTTCGGGTGGCATCGTTGTGGCACTGCAGGAGGCCCAGGATGGACATGTCGTCTGAGGAATGGGAGCGGGAGTTGAAATGGTTCGTGACTGGGAGGTGCAGTTGTTTATTGCGAACCAAGCATAGGTATTCTGCAAAGCGGTCCCCGAGCCTCCGCTTGTTTTCCCTGATGTAGAGGACGCCACAATGGGTACAGCAGATGCAGTATACCACATTGGCAGATGTGCAGGTGAACATCTGTTTGATGTGGAAAGTCTTCTTGGGGCCTGGGATGGGGGTGAGGGAGGAGGTATGGGGTCAGGTGTAGCACTTCCTGCGGTTGCAGGGAAAAGTGCCGGGTGTGGTGGGGCTGGAGGGGAGTGTGGAGCGAACGAGGGAGTCACGGAGAGAGTGGTCCCTCCGGAAAGCAGATAAGGGTGGGCAGGGAAAAATATCTTTGGTGGTGGGGTCGGATTGCAGATGGCGGAAGTGTGGGAGGATTATGCGTTGGATCCGGAGGTTGGTGGGGTGGTATTTGAGGACAAGGGGGATTCTTTTTTGGTTGTTATTGCAGGGATGGGGTGTGAGGGATGAGTTGCGGGAAATGTGGGAGACACGGTTGAGGGCGTTCTCGACCACTGAGGGGGGGAAGTTGCGGTCCTTGAAAAACGAGGACATCTGAGATGTACGGGAATGGAATGCCTCATCCTGGGAGCAGATGCGGCGGAGGCGAAGGAATTAGGAACAGGGGATAGCATTTTTGCAGGAAGGTGGGTGGGAGGAGGAGTATTCTAGGTAGCTGTGGGAGTCGGTGGGCTTGAAATGGATATCGGTTTCTAGGTGGTTGCCCGAGATGGAGACAGAGAGGTCCAGGAAGGAGAGAGAAGTATTAGAGATGGTCCAGGTGAACTTAAGGTTGGGGTGGAAGGTGTTGGTGAAGTGGATGAACTGTTCGAGCTCCTCGTGGAAGCACGAGGCGGCGCCGATACAGTCATCAATGTAACGGAAAAAGAGGTGTGGTTTAGGGCCAGTGTAGCTACCCAAGTGGGATTGTTCCACGTAACCTACAAAGAGGCAGGCATAGCTTGAGCCCATGCGGGTACCCATGGCCACCCCCTTTGTCTGTAGGAAGTGGA